TTTTGACTGCAGAAAGCTGAAACTTCGCATAGATGTGTAATAAATTAAGAACAACACATTGTGTGAGTTTGAATTCATTTTATGAAGATTTCCTACTTTTATTGAATTTTTCGTTTTTCCCCACAAGACCTTCAGAGAAAAGCCGACAAGTGTAGTGCTTGGGCTACCTGTGAATAATCGTTGTTGGCGTTCATTTTCTCGATTTTCTTCAGGCATGTTTCGTCTATACTTGCGTTTTCTCTCCCTTTCCAGCCTGCGTTGTTCTTCACTAAGACCTCTTCGACGTTCTCTTTCTCTTCTTCTTGTCTTTTCTTGTTCCGATAAAAAGCGTAAGCGTTGTTTTTCCGACATTTTTGGCGCAGAAGTAAAGAAACAAATGTCGTTGAGGTGAAAAAAGTTGTTTCAAAAATTGACGCGAGCGCGCTTCCTTTTCCCGCCTTGTCAAAAGCTAGCCAATCAGAATCGCGATGTACACGGACGTACGTACGTATGTATGTATGTATGTATGTATGTACGGAAGGACAACTGGGATTCCTGTGTCGGTTGATCAAAACTCGACCTCATGGGTTTACCATTTTTCCTTAGTTATGGTGCTCCGCTCGCGCGGGCCTTCGCTATAAAACAATCACGATCACAGACATGAAAATATTCTTCCTTTGCAGAGAAATGTCGAGCGCTGAGCTTGATATGCGGTTTCAAAATCGTGAAAATACGACGCCCGGCACTCATAATTTTGAACTGAAAACCGACTAACACTTCACGCTTATCTTCTGGATCGCTTGGAAAGCGCTTAATCAAGAACGAAAGAGTGTTCATTGCTGGATTCGTAGTCGTTTCATTTCATGAAAATAGAAAAGCTCTTGAAAGGAAGAATATTTTCAGTCATGTGTTTGCCACCAAAGTGAAGTTAGCATGACATTCGCAGCCTGAGATTCAGATAGCCTGAGAATGAGATTCGTTTCCGGGGGGACTCGCAAATTCTACTTTAAAAGTGTATTTGAAGCGAATAAAGACCATTTTTAAAAAGAATAATGACGAATGATTGTAGATTATAGTGTGTACTTCGTCTCAAAGCAATTAATGAATTTATTATAACAGCGAATTTCATGCGACAGTCTATGTTTTCGGTCCAACCTTAGATTCAAATGACAGCCTGAGATTCGAATATCAGCCTGATCATTCAAAACGTTTCGGAAATACGCCTCGGCTTTAGATTCAAATGCCAGACCTAACAGCAAACTCTCCTTGAGATTCGAAGCGACTCAAATAGACTCGAAACAAAGTCAATTAACTCTATTTAATAGACTCAACCAAACTATATCGGCTTTTCAATTCAAATTAACTGCAACTTAAAGTATATATTTAAAATATAAGCTTGGACAGCTTGTAAAATTATTAAACTGTATGGATTTAACTTGAATAGTACAGTGTCAATGTGTTGTTATTTAATAGTGCCGGACACGACACGATTAGCATTTTATATCATTAAGTACAGCATAACACAATCTAAACACTTGAGCACACACAGCACACCAGCCTGACATTCGAATAAAATGTACGTAAAACGCTTTAATCAGATTGCCAAATCGACTAAAAACTACGTAAAACTCCTTACGCGACAAACCAGCCTGACATTCGAATGAAAACTAAGTAAAACTCCTTAAGCGACATACCAGCCTGAGATTCGACTAAAAACTATGTAAAACTCTTTACGCAACACATTCGAATAAAATGTACGTAAAACGCTTTAATCAGATTGCCAAATCGACTAAAAACTACGTAAAACTCCTTACGCGACAAACCAGCCTGACATTCGAATGAAAACTAAGTAAAACTCCTTAAGCGACATACCAGCCTGAGATTCGACTAAAAACTATGTAAAACTCTTTACGCAACACGTCAGCCTGAGATTCGAATGGTAACTACGTAAATCTCATTACGCAACACGCCGGCCTGAGATTCGAATGAAAACTACGTAAAACTCTTTACGCAACATACCAGCTTGACACCCGGGGCCTGACATTCGAATGATAAATACGTAAAACCTCATTACGCAACACGCCAGCCTGAGATTCGAATGAAACTACGTGAATCTCAGGCTGACGTGTAAATGAAACCGTTTTACSTAACGCAGATGAGAATCTCAGACAGACATGTAAATGAAACTGTTCTACGTAACGCAGATGCCAATCTCAGGCTGACGTGTAAATGAGACTGTTTTACGTAATGCAGAATCGAATCTCAGGCTAGCGTGTAAATGAAACTGTTTTACGTAACGCAGATGCGAATATCAGGCTGTAGTATAAAATAAACGTTTTACGTTAAGTACAAGCGAATCTCAGGCTGACATGTAATAGACTGTTTTTTTCTTTTGAATCTCAGGCTKAWCTGTGAATCTAAGGCTGAAGGCTTAAAATGTATAAATTCTTGTGAATTTGAATTTTGCCGTGATTGCATTTAAAGCGATCGTTAAAGGCGATATCTAGACAATGGAAGGGTTTGGTTGATCATTTTCACGATATGATAGGATTTAAGTGAT